GCACACAAGCAGCCAACCAGCCAAGCAACACGCACACCCACAACAACATACAACAACCGTTAGCACAAGCAACGAACTCGTCTAATAGCGAACACCAACGAAAGCACACCCAAACCCGGCGCACAAACCGCCCGCACAGCCACCGAACCCAACGAACGACAATGGCTTACCGCTATGAAGTACGCATGTGCAGTAATTATAAATACAAATACCAGTAAATGCTGTTGCTTTTTTAACAGAGAGAATTATATTATATATAAATAAAGTGGAGTATAGAAGAAAATAATGCGAAGAGGAGAAGTGAGTGAGCGAGGGGAGTTGGAAAATCGTAATTGGAAACAATGCATACTTGTGGGTGGTCGGAAGTTGCTTCGGTTGTGTGTGTGTGTGTGTGTGTGTGAAAGCAGCGAATAAGTGAATCGAACAACCCTAAAAGCTTCTAACAATACAGTGGTTGTTGTTGTAGCGAAGTATGACAATACAGCGTAAGGAGCTGACTGCTGTGGGGGGAGGGGGGCTGCAAGTCATGGCACGGTAAAATAAATCAAAATTCTATTTCGAAATGCAGGGAAACAAACCAAACCAAACAACAACAAAGCAGTCATAGAAAATGGATGCAACAAACAAACAAAAGCAAAGCTGCCACAATTGCACACAAACAACAAAACCAAAAGACAAAAGTAAATGGCAAATAAAGGAGGCAAACAAACAAATGTAAAAGAATAAGGCGCGCACAAATGAAAATGCAAAAACAAAATGGCAACTGTGTAATTTATTACTTAAATTGCGAGGCAGCAGTGTGGAGGGGTGTATGGGGGCGCTGGCTGTCAACTTGTGCCAAATAAATAAAATATTGCTGAGCGGCAAGGCGGCACGATGCCGCTGGAGAAGCAGCTAGCTACATTGAAAGTATAAAAAATTATGGAGGCTGGTGGGTGGCGCAGGCACGTGTTGTTGTTGCGGCAGCAAGAATAAGCATAAGCCAACACTGCAGCAGTGCTTTGCTATTTATTATGACGATGTTGTTTTGGTTGTACTTGCTTTTGTTTCTTTTTTTTTCTTACTCTTCGTAACTGCAGTGAATTTTGATTAGCTCGGCGAAGTGCTTTATTTCCGCATTTGGAATTTTTTTTTTCTTCGCATATTTATTTGTAAAATTGTAAAATTGTAAAATTGTAAAATTGCTTATCTCTGCGGTTATATAAATGCGAAAGTGTGCTTTATGTATATGTGTGTGTGGTGGTGCCATCAGAAGGGGCGTTTCATTTCGATTGCGATTTATATTTGTATCTTCTTCTTACTTATACTCATTGCAATTTCACAATTGTATTTGCACACGCACACGCACGCATATATATATATATATCGGCTATGTCTGTTTATGTGCGCTTTGTAAGTACTTTAACTTTATACTATGTACGTGCTCGACGCCATTTTATGTTATTATTCTTAGCATTTTTTTGGTTCTTTAAGTTGAAGTGCTCAGCCATATGCTTCAGGCGTTTCGATGTGCTTGCGCTTGTTTATCTTTCATTGAAATTTAAAGTACTTTAAATTTATGTGTGCGTACATATATGCATACATACCTACACATATAGATATGTATGTATATACATTATTAGAAGTGCAAGTGCTAATTTCGAGTACATTCTTCAGTATTTATGATATGGTATGTGTATATGGCGTGTTTGCGCACACTTGTTTCTACCCACCCGCTAAACAAATATGTCGAGCTTCGAAACAAAAATAAGTAAATTTCACAAGTTCTAACAGGTTCTGCGTACAGGCTATATATACATATATATTTTTTTTCCTATTTGTCTCGTTGCTTAGTATGACTTTTGGGAAATTATAAGGTCTGAAAAACATTTTTCCAATTCGCATCGTCATATAGATATTGTTAACGGTAGCAACGTCAATCATTTAAAAATAGTATTCATGAAAATGTGTCGGCGAAGTAAGCTCTTTGAAAAAATAAAAAAAATTATACATTTGTATATAAAAAAGTTTTGGTTTTTTTACAGCGTCTAGCAATAGGTATGACGAAATGGAAACAGGACAGCTCAGGGCGGCCATATTTTGTACGGATTTATGTCAAATTTTTTCAGTGTATTTAATAAGATTTGCAATTTCATCATGTCACGTTTTGCTTTGGTACAACGCTTGGAAACTGTCCTAGATTTGTACGCAAATTTCCGTTCGCTGAAAAATCATCTCCTCAAATGAGGCCCATTTCTGGCTTAATGGCTTTGTCACTGTTTGGTGCGGTATGGCAACATCATCGGGCCCACTTCCTTTCGAAATGCCATTACCATTAATAGCGAGCGTTATAACACTATGTTGACCGAATTATTTCCCCCGTAATTTGAGGAAATCTCTACTTCCAACAAGACCTCAAGTTACACATGTAAACATGGACACATTGCGCGCAGAGTTTGGCGACAAATTTTCTCATCGAGAAATGGCTCAGTTAAATGGCTGTGAATATTATGTGATTTTATGTCGCTAAATGTATGTTGAGTCCAAGGTTTACGCCAATCACTCAGCAACGCTCGAGAAGCTCGATAGCCGAAATACTGCACCGGGTCATTAAAAACGGGTGGAGAAATGCAAACGGAGCCGTGGTGGCCATTTAGCCGACATTTTGTTCAAATAATAAATGACATAAAATTATCTGCATAACAAAACAAACAAAAAAAAAACACAAAACCCATTTTAACCAAATTTTTGTGTTTTATTTATCATAATTTTAACATCACGTAGCTGTTGTTGACAGACCCTGTACTTTTTGTGCCGTTCCTGTTTATATCATGTCTCTTCATTAAAACAATAATTAAAACAATATCTACAGTTAGGTGGATTTTTCAATTCCTCTGCATGGAAAAAATACTGAATTTTAATTTCCTGAAAATTCTCTTAATAACGTTCGCTTCACGTTTTAATGAACAGTATATAAACATGCGAGGTGTGTTCTAAAAATATTCGAACTTTTTGAATGCATATCATATATGATCATTTATTCAAAATAGCTTCTTTTGGACTCAATACAACGTTTGGAACGATTAATCAACGCATGCATGGATTTTTTAAAGTAATTTTTAGGAATGTTCTTCAGCACGTCGGTTACGGCTGCTTGAGTGGCTGGGATATCAGCATAAAATGCCAATAACCAACATGAAGGTTTAAGTTTTGGAAATAGAAAGTAGTCACATGGAGATCATCCCCGAATACGAGGGGTGGTTGATAAGATAAATCCGTTTTATTCTTATCGTTCAAAGTTCGTTCACTTTTTTGGTCTTCATTTATTTTTTCCTTTATTCAAGTCTTCAGTTCTCCAAAAAGTATTGGCACCAATATTTGATGCTTAAGCCAACTTTCTCGTAGTAAAATTTGCATCAATACCAATAATTTCACAGACTTTTTCCCCCCATATCAGCCATATTGCTAGCTTCCGGACGACCTGGCCTTTGGTCGTCATTTAAATTCTCACCACCATTTTTAAATTGTGAAATCCATGTATAAACTTGAGTACGACAATCATCAGCATAAACTTCTTTCATCAATTCGTATGACTCAGACATTATTTTTTTAAGTTTAACAAAAAATTGTAGTCTTTCGCTTTTACTGAAATGGCTGTAATTTTAACACCTGTCATCTGATTAAAGGAAGTTAGGTGTGAATATATCTTTTTCAATGAAAACTCTGCATGTTGTATGATTTATATATATTTATTAGTATTATAATTATTTTTAACATACACTTGTATATATATACGTATATTTCTCTGACAGAAACAATAGTAAAAATCTCTCTCGTAAAGTTGATAAGATATTTCAATCGGAAAGAGCAGAGATCGTTAATAGAAATATCTATGAAAAAACCTAACCTTGTTTTAAAGTGTGTGGAACAAAAAACTTGATCGATATAAATAGAAGCGTTGAGATGATTAGTTTTTCAGGATATAGACTCTGTACATAAAGAGATATATAGAGATACAAATACTGAGCAAAGGGAATTTTAATATAGATTTATCGGTCAATATTATCCAAAACATTTGTTGTCGGGTTTAAAACTAATCTTTTGTGCAAGTTAAAGATTTTCTAAAACTCAAAATTTTTTTTGGCTTAAATAACGTTTTATGGTTATAAAAGAATTATTTCATTAATATAATAGTTAAAAGACTGTTTTCCTTATTTAATTCTTTGTAGTATATAAGTAAGCGGATAAGACAGTTTCAGCACATATTTAAAATTTTAAATGAGTTTTTCTTGAAACTACGTTTTTCAAATCGAGAGATGATGTTATTCAGAGACTATTGTCTGCATCCACTTATGTTAATTCTAGTATCGCTGTAACATTATCTAGTAAACTACGTACGACTTTTTTTTTATTATTTCCTATATAAACCCTGTTGAAAAACGTGATTACGAAGACTTTTTTTAATCAAAATTCCTTTCTCCCATAATAAATTGTCAAAGTATGGACTTTCTTAGCGCTTTGCACTTACCTCACCTCTTAATAACTTACGTAAGCTTTTGTTGTTCATATACATATATGTGTAGTTTTCATGCACAAAATTTCAGCTCTATGAGTTTATTTTTAAACGTATTTTTTAGAAACAGCAATGATCTGATTACTATCAAAAAGAATGTATGGACAATATCTTCTGGTAGAAATTTTTGTTAAATATGTATAAATATTAACTTAAAATTTTAAAACAATTGATATAGCACCGTTCAATGCATAAAAACCGGCATTTTTTAGGTAGTCGCACTAGGTGGTGCCGTAAATATCAAAAAAACCACTTAAAACTTCATAAATAAATAATCATAAATTGTTATTAATATATTATTATTTTATTGTATTGAAATTTTTTCGGCAATAGGCTTCAAGACACTTTTCTTATTCAGTTAGTTTTACATTTTTATAATAACTTCTCACATGCTTCTTCTTTCCAAGTAAAAATCTAATAATATACTTTCTATCCTATGTATTTCCAGGTGTGGTTCAAGAACCGACGCGCCAAGTGGCGTAAGCGCGAGCGTAATGCCATGAATGCGGCTGTTGCTGCTGCCGACTTCAAGTCCGGCTTTGGTTCACAATTTATGCAACCGTTCGCCGATGATTCGCTCTACTCGTCATATCCATACAATAACTGGACTAAAGTGCCATCACCGTTGGGCACAAAACCCTTCCCGTGGCCAGTTAATCCACTCGGCTCCATGGTGACCACCAATCATCACCAAAACTCGGTGAACTGTTTCAATACCGGCGCTAGCGGTGTGGCGGTCAGCATGAATAACTCCATGTTGCCGGGCACAATGGGCTCTACGTTGACCAACACTAACGTTGGCGCCGCACCATGTCCCTACACCACGCCCGCCAATCCGTACATGTATCGTGCCGCCGCCGAACCCTGTATGCCATCGAGCATGTCATCGAGCATTGCCACACTACGCCTAAAGGCCAAACAACACACCACCGGTTTTGCCAGTCCCTACTCGGCACCGTCGCCAGTGTCGCGTTCCAATTCGGCGGGTCTGTCCGCCTGTCAATACACCGGTGTGACTGATGTTGTCTGAGAAAACGCCCTTGGGGCGCTACTCAATCAACATCAACATCATTTGCATCACTTCTCCACCAGCAGTGGTGGTGGCGTATCCGCACATTCACCCAATCTCAACAATAATTTACATCATTTACACAATAATAATAATAACAACAACTTGTTGAATAACAACAACCTGCTGCTAGATCATAATGGCGAGCTGAGTGTGGGTGGTCTGGTGGGTAACGGTCTGCACAGTAACAAATCACCGCTGGGACATCAACACAGTGATATGGGTGATGGCAGCGGTGGACGAGGCGGTAATGGTGGTGGCACAAATAACGGACTGTTGGGGCCGAATGTCAATAGTGATGGCGGCGACGAAGTGGAGGAGGTCATTGACTAAAGATGCTGAGAGTGGTTTAAATGGGTAGAGTTACTATAATTGAAAAAATAAATTAATTAATAACGGAAACTTAAGAAGTCATAACACTGCGGCTCTCAAACTGTGTGCGTGAAATGTAAAGAGAAGTGTATATTAATTATTTAAAAAAAAAAAACATAAATAAAAAAAAAGCAAACTATTTGTTACAATACTTGTAAAATATTGATTAATTAAAATGCATACAGATGTTTAGTCTTAAGTAATTGAATTAATTGTAGTTAAAATGGTGAACATTTGTATTGAGATAAAAAATAAAAAAAGTTAAACATAATATATCCAAGGAACAATAACTATTTTTAAATTCAAAACCATGCGTTAAATAATGTATTTAAATATGTTAAGTCAAAACGCATATTAATTAAATTTTTTTAAGTTCAGTTTGGATAAAAATAAATATGAAAATAATTAAGCCTTTAAGTTCAGTTCGGTAAAAAAAAATATTTAAAAAAAAATTAAGCGGATTTTTTATGACACAATTTTATTAAAAAAAATTATTGAAATGCAACTTGTAAATAGCAAAAAAAATTATAATTTTATTTGACTTAATTTTCAAAGCGTATGTCATAAAAATATGCCGAATAAGAGTAAATATCAAACGCAACTTAAATTAAAATTTTAAAATATTAAAAAGTTAAAGAAACTAAAAAACTTAAAAAAGTTTCAAATATTTTTTTTTTATTCAGAAATACCAAATATATGTTAATAATTTGTACCAATATGTTCCATTGATAATTTTATTTTCTATATAATCTGAAAATCAAGTACTTTTTTCTATACTTTTTTCAAAACAACCAGTTTTTTTCTTCAAACAAACAACTACACGAAAAATAGTACATAGCAAATCGTGTAATATTACTATAATCAATCAAATTAGCAAACATACATATAAAATAAATTATTGTAAATTTAAAATTAATATTAAATAAAAGAATAGATGCAAAACAATATCACCAACAGTTTTTAAGAAGTTGTCTAGTCGTGTAACTGAAACAAAAAAAATATTATAAATATATATAAAATTAATGATAAACACAACCAGCTGAACACATCATTAAATTAAAATTAAAAAAAAATATTAAATATTAAAATCTATAATAAGAAATAAATTCTGAAAGTGAACAATAAAAAAATGGATTGAATATTTTAAATGGTTTTATATTTGTGAGGAAATGTTGTGAAAATTAAGAACAAAACCCAGATCTAGGCTGTCGTAAAAATGTATTAGAATTTAATATTTTAACTGGTTTCAACTTCTAATTCTAGTACGAGGCTGTCATAAAAACTCTATTCGACTAATACCAATATACGTAAGTTTTACTACTCAACCTGACATTTTTGGAAATTAAAGAAACCAAAATATTTGCTTTGAAGTCATTGGAGCCAAATATTTTGACAACCAAATATTTAATATGATATATTGTAGAAATACGTATAGATGGAGCAGATTACGAACACTATATAATAAAAGACACTACAGCAGCCAAATCAGTAGATATCAATACTTTCTAGTTTAAGGGATTATTTACAATACATATATACACATGCAAGTCAGAAAAAAACTTGTTTTTTGTGCATCTTTCCTCGAAGTGGTATTTTAATTAACAAATAAATAAAAGTAATGCAAATTTACAGAAATTAACGTACTTCAAAAATCGGTGTTGGTTTTTTTTGAAAAATTTGTGATTCTCGTGATCGCCTAGCCGATCTCCAAGAGAACCCTCGAATAAAGGTGTTTGGCGGTGTGGAAGATTTTACCGCTTAAAAGTATGTCAAAGTCAAAATCCCAAAAAACTTGTTACTACTATTTTATTTTTAACCAAATGGGGGTGTTCGAAAAAAAAAGTAGTTTAATTTTTTTTATGTTAAAACATAGCTTTAGTGGTTTATCTCGATTTGTGGCAGAACTATTAATCCTATGGAAAAAAGTTGAAAGGCAAAGTTGTAGGTAATAAAAGGATCTATAACTCCTGTGTTGCCACGTTTTGCACATAACCTCAAGATTTATTTGAGAAATTTAAATAACTAAGTTTTTGTTTTTTTTATCTTGCGGAAAAATATTATTTTTATTCATTTTGGGTACTAAACTAACATTTTTATATTTAAAACGCACTGTAATTATTTTCTTTAAATTATTTTCGTATATTTTCATCTTATATTGTCTTACTTTTAACCTAATTTTCAAACGAAAATTCTCACGTGACTAAGCACTGAATTAGTATACAAAACTGTAATTTAGTACAAGAGATGACAGTAGGCAGGAACACCGAGGGACCAAAACTTTTTTGAAAGTTTGCGTGGCCCCGCCCTCTAAATGGTTAAATGTACATATCTTAACTCGTAACTCAACCAAACTTGCTGAGTAGAAGTATTTTTTAGTACTTTTTCATGTACTCTTAAAATCGGTAAAATCAAATAATAACCACGCCCATATAAGGGTTAGGTTGAAAACTATTAAAAGTGTAATTACTCACTGAATAAAGACGCCAAAAGCATTAACTTCACAACCAAGATGGTATAAAAGTGCTTTATAGGAGCAGCTGTTAATATAGGACAATGGGCGTGACAGGATCTTAAGAACTGCTTGACCGAACTCAATAAAATGTGGTGTATCCTATCTTACACTGTGAAAATGTGTGAAATCGGATGACATTCTAGTGCTCTCAAGATATTTCATCTTACGCGCGAAAATTGTCGAAATCGGACTATAAAATTTCAAGGACTCAGATTCCAAATATGTGCAGTTTGACTGATTTTTTACCAGACATATCGGTCAATCTGTGAAGTCTAGTATTGAAATTTGTCCTTGTGCCAAAAACTTTTTTAATGAAATCTGCTTTTTATTATGAACAACTCGGTACTTGTACAAACACACATATTTAAGCAATCTTACTATCTTATCTCGCCGGGTATTTAAGAATTTTATGGCATTTGTTTTTGGATAATTTAATGCAAGCGGCAAAAGTCTGTGCTCGCACTTGCTCTGGATATTAAAGTGTCTCGGAATAGTTCGCAGGTCATATTTTACGTATTAGTTTTTGAACATAGGAGATTTATTATCAATATAAATAAATATTATTTTTAGAAATATGAGAAATAATTAACGTTTTATATATGGAAATTATTGACACAATAAAAAATCCACTAAGTTAAAGATTTGAAAAGAAAACACTCTGCTCAATTTTTAGTTATTGATTTTGATAGTAAACTTTCGCTAAGAATTTAGGATTCAGGAGAGCTTGTGCATATAAAATTCACTTCTTCTTACCACCTTCGGTGATATTCCACTTCGCTTACCCCACTAAATCACCGAAGTATAATAAATGACTCACACAGAAATGCTAAATTAAAATCAAATCGTAATTTATTTTACCGCAGAACAAAGTAACATTTAGCACAAACGGAGGGGGAAGAGAGTGCGACGGGCAGCAGGCAAGTAGACACCGGACCGCAGGAAGACTCAATTTAATTTTGATTAAAATGTGTGCGAGCACATACATACATACATATATGTGTATATAATATAACAGGCGCATTATTAGATAGTGGAAAATGCAAATTTCCTCAACTCAGGCGACCTTAACGACAATGAAAGGAAAACTGAGTTAACGGTAAAGCGACTGACTGACTGACCGTAGCACATTTTATTACCTTGCCGAAGTTGCTGGCGCTGAGGGCTGCATTAATAGCTACCGACATTCAAAGCGTTCTCAAAACTGGTGCAAAATCCATCCATCAATTTATTCATTACAAAGAAATTATGTCGAATTTATATGCACCCCAAGTGCCGCAGCGAAAGTAAGCAGTTCAAGGGATGGATGCAGGCGAGCAAACGAGCTGCGTACTCGGTCACAGGTTTGACGGCTCATTTCACTTTGCATTGGCTGAGCCCTGACAGTCTACCGCTAGTGTGTGTGTGTTTAGAAAATCACCGCACAATAAAAATAAAAATAAAAGTACAAACGCGGTCGAACAACAAATCTCGCTGAAGCAACAACAGAGTGGCAGTAGCATAGGCGGAAGGAAGAAGCAGGCGCCACAACGCCAAAGAGTGAATGTCTCGAGCCCTTATTCTTCTGGGGTGGATTGCTTAGTTAACTGTTTGCGGTATATTAGCCAGGCACAGCTAATAGCCGCAAGATATTTGCCGAAAAGGATGCGCTCGAGCATACCCGCTGAGCGTGGTGTCGTTTAAGGCGCGTTCGCCGAAGAATGAGCGATGAGCGTGCACCCACGCGGCCCAACAATAAATCGGTGAAATTAAATTTGCCTTTTGGTGTATTTGTGTTGTTGTTGTTGGTGCTTAATTTTCGTCAACTATGCGCCTTCCGCCACCCGCCGCTAATTCACCGAGGAAATCATTTGACAGCAAGCACGCAAGCATTTCCTTCCTTCGTTTGCTCTGTGCTTTCGTGGATTTCTCTCGCAGCGACAAGTGTTCCTTAACTTTTGTGTACTTAAATTATTATATGTTTCATTCACTATTTGCACAGTGTTATTGTTTTTTGGTTTTGAAGAAGAAGATTGATATTATTGCAGTTCACTCTTTATATTTATTATTTCATCCTCAGCGCACGAATGTAAATATATATATACATAGGTATATAAATGGGTGTTAATTTAAGCACCCTCCTCTATGTTGTGCCCCACTGTGGTGTCAAAGGGTTAATAAGTTGTCGTCCCGCTGTTTTAGAACTTCATTTGTTGTTAATACTGCAATTTCACTACTCCAGCAGCGAAATTACATTTTTTACGACTTTGTTGGGAGATTTTGGATATATGCGGCTTTTCTTGCAAGCCAAATACATTCGAATTGAAAGGCCAATGTTAATAATGCATGTGTATATGTTGCCCACGAGCACAATATACTACAATTAAATAGTAATATAAATGTTATTGGTATATGGCAGGTTAAGGCTATGACTTAAGTTAAGCATTAACAAATTTTCCAAACACTAGAGGTCACTTAATAGAAATTATGGGTGGCCGCTGCTTTCGAAAAGATCTCAACAAACTATGAATATATGGAATATACAACTGGATTGTCGTAGGCTTTTTAAAAACCCTAAGACTTTCTGAAGAAAACGCTCACTTTAATTATTTTCTTTTGTTTTCATCGTAGCGTGGCTTTTTGGACTATTAAAAAATTTAACTATTTCTAATTGCTATTAAATATCACTGAAAGTAGTATTTCCAGCTCAGAAATCTTCACTTCATATTTACAACGAACTTATTTTCTGCTCACTCGAGCTTTAGTCAATAAGCTCTTTTTTGATCCACTTTTAGTGAAGATCTGCAGAGTAGACCTTCACAGTGACGATAACCTCTACACTCGA